TGGATTAATAAAGTTTTATTTAATCTAATATAATCTAATAACTTCAATCTCAGCCAAACCGATTTACTCCGGAACAAATAAAACACAGAAAAAAAGCCAAAAATTACATTTTAAGTTATTTGAGTGACTTATATATCATGTTTAACCTGAGTAGCGAAAGATAGTGGGGGTCTGAAAACGATGAAGCCGGGAGTCCGCTGCTCTCGCCAGTTCGAGTGACCATTGAACCCCCCGGCTAGCTATCGAGCGGGTGGGTAACAGGCATCTCCGAAAACGTCGGAGCACTTTGGCAAATATGCAATGTCTTGATAAAGCAAGCAGATATTTGAAGTTTACACGGCTACTTTCTCGCCTGAAAATATGTTAAAAGTTTATTTTGTGACCCAGAAAGATTAATAAGAGTAATATTAAAACTTAGCAGCAGTCGCCATTGTTGGAAACTGGAATTGCTATGAATTCTGGGATATGGTGGGCCACGAAGACCACACCCGACCCATCCTTCAAATTCGGGGAAATGAAGGACGCAATTGTCGGCCGCATTTGAAGGAGTCGACGAATTGGGACAGCCTTCGTCGCCTGGCTGTGACGTAATCGGCCTTCAAATGTAGCCTCCGAAGGATGTAGCCTAGGTTTTGGGACACAGCTAAATAGTCAAATATTGACCCAGATGTGAAAGCATATTTTCCTTCCATGTTTTTTTCAATTCTTTAACCATACCATAGGATAAATGCTCCAGCTGGAGATCAGTTAGTTGGATGCCTTGTAGCTAACGGTATGATTTGTGTTCTCAAACTTGTAGAGACATTTCCGGAAGGTTTTGTGCACAACACGAGCTTACTCTGATAATCCACTGTTATTGCAACACTGCTGTTGAGCTCCTTGCCTTACAAGGATGTTTTGGTCACCTGCTGCTATACGTTCACCTTTGACCTTGCTTGAGGGAAACACGCACGCTGATAAATAGGAAAGGTAAGAAGGTAACATACACGGGAGTATTCTGGAGATCTGTAAGGAGTTAAACCCGTGACCTCAGTGTGACCTTGTTAGCTCGGCACGCCTATGTGTGAACGGCTCTTTGAGGACATTTCTTTGGCCAGAACCTAATGTTTACTAAAATCTCAACACACTGAAGAAGAAGAATGATCACTTTTTGAACTCGACATTTAGGGTCAGTTTACACAATTCACACATTTTATACCAAATGTGATAAATGTTCACAGGATTTGTCCAGTAAAAATATAGAAATCATGCACCAAAATATGTTTGAGATAAAAATAAATGGAAGCTTCTTCTTTATTATTATTAATAAGACAGTAAGCAGTTTTTTTGTTTGCCACAAGTTATGGAATCTACCAGAAAAATTTATCTAAAGCACACAATAAAAAACAGGAAGAGTATAATTATTAGGAGTTAAAGGAGCTTGCAAAGAAAAGCGTCTGGACTTCTTTAAGTTACTTGAAGACGTTTCACCTCTCATCCGAGAAGCTTCATAAAGCTTGGATGAGAGGTGAAACGTCTTCAAGTAACTTAAAGAAGTCCAGACGCTTTTCTTTGCAAGCTCCTTTGACTACGATGACCTGGATGGCTGAGAACCTTCACAGACATAATTATTAGGAGTGTTATTATCATATTTTATTAGTATTTCACAATTAAAATCATTCCAGAGGGAACAATTTAGTCCATGCACGCAAAGACTTTTATTATGAAAGAGCTGAAAGCCTGTTTGGAGACCTGATAATGGTGGGATATAATGCCAAGGCAAAACTACCACACTTGTTTATACTGCATTAAAATGTAGCCAGCGGCTCTCAGAATGAGCTCCTTACTGGAACTTAAGCTATTCAAAAATATACTGTGAGCCAGTAACATTTTGCATTTTAGCTTCGCTGGGAAGCATTGCTCTGAATGGATTCAGTTTATTTTTATCTGATCAAGAAGTGGATCGAATCGAGTTATTTGTGTGATTAAAAATGTTGGATTTTCAATGAGCGAAAAATGTTTTGAAGCCAGTTCGAATACAACTGTGTGATAAATTATTTAACATTTCATTCAGATTGCTCTTCAAAAGGCACACCATCAAACATATTCCATTTACTCTAATCAAGAGGCTTTTCAGGTCCCAGAATGAAGAGAGAGATTAAGTAGAACCATGTGTGTGTTTATGAGAGGGGTATGGTAAAGCACCCCAGAGTTGGAGGCTTGTTTTAGAGTTCTGGCATTTATCCCTCACACTGTAATTTTGATTACAAAGACAAACCCAGGTAAATTAAAAATGTGGCATCAATCAAGAGTCTCTACACAACAGCGAAGGCGCAGAACATAAACTGGCTGCTTAGGCCAACTATACTGTTACTCATGAATGTTTTGGGTGGTCTGGCTGTGTTGGGTCCTTTGTTTAACTCAAGCTCAAAGCAAGCTTGACTTTGTTATAAAGTGGCCAGGAATTGTCCAGTGGGTAGCTGGCCAGATAATGACAATGACTCACGTTTTTGCAAATTCGTTCAATATGGGGCTCAGTATACGTCAGGTGAATGTTTCACTTCCAGCAACGTGGAGAAAACCATTTCTGCTTCTCTACAGCACCCCTGTATGTTTCTAGTTGGTTCTGCCTTCTGGTTTCAATAGGGAATTCTAATCACGTTAGAAAGCCATTTTAGGGAAACAAAACGGCAACCTTCCCCTCTAATGTGACAAGTTCCTGGCAGAGACGAACAATCTGCTGAATTTGAAAACATCAAGTATGCCTTTAACCTTGGCTCGTAGGAGAATTAAAGTCTTGCCGCCTGTGGTTAGTATGCATTTGGATTTTGGCCACATCTGTCTGGCGCTGTCAGTCCCTAAAGACTGAGCTCAGTGCACATTGGTTGAGCCTCTTGAGTGGAGAAGCAAGGGCATGAAGTCATACGGTGATGCTGTAAACCTGTAAAACTGACTATTTAACGCGAGTAAGGCCACTTTAGTCCACTGGATCTTCAGTCAATTAAAATATTAGACAACAGTGTGAAAAAGCCTACGTGGCATTGTAAAAAATTATTTGCCCAACCTCAAGTTTCTAATTCCCCAAAAAGCAGTCGAGGGCTCTAATTAGAAAATCTGATTTATGAACAAGAGGAATTAGGGCCAAGAGTGCACTAATTCAGGCCTGCTGTTGGCAAACACCCTAAAATGTGCCTGGATAATGCATCGGCTCTGCTCAGGAGACACACAGTAAAGTCAAATGTAGAAAGAATAATACTCATGTAAGTGGATGCATACGCAAAGTCATGTTCTGGTTAGTGAGACCATATGCTGGAAGGGATTCATGTTTGCTTAAAACTGATACACCTCAAATATTTCATTTAGGCTAACGCCAAACTACAAAAACATGAGGTTCAGGTCAAGATGGCACGCAGATGCGTGAGTGGATGTTTTATCGTCAAACATATCTTAAAGCCTGTGAATACAGAAAAAAAAGACATGAAGAAGCACAGAGAAAAAAAAACTGGGAGACTTTCCAGAAGTTATCTTTTTCATGTCAGCATGGGGGTCACCTGGAATGCGTATCAGAAAAGCTGTGCAAATGACTCATTAATCATGGCAAAGGGAAATGTCACTGCCGGTCTATCGTTTTGCCAAGATGTGTGGCAAATTTTATGGTGTTTCTAATCGTATTCCTTCATTTCTGTCTTAAATTAGCTCCAGATATTCAGGAAAGAATTAAAGCTTTCAAGGACTCCTAGTGTGAGTTGAAGAAGGGGGGGTTATGAAGGAATGAAAAGTATATTTGAAAAGATTTTCCAGCTGAAATGTGCAAAGACTTTTCAAAGAGTGCAAAGCAGGTCCCGAGTTTGATGAATTATTCTCAGGTGCACCTTTTTTCATGCCTCAGTCTGTGCTTCTGCTTCAGATATAATGACCAGCCACACATCATCATCCTGCAGCTGTGAAACTCAGAGATCGACATGAGCAATGACGGAGATTATCATAATGAATGTCTTCTTTTCTTTCTAAGAATCCCCCTGAACTCATGAAGACCAGCAACTGTGCCGTGACTGTGTGCCAGAATGCTCAGAGGCAGGTTGAAAATGACCTGTAAATGTTCATTTCCAGTGGGACCGAGAGTAAATTACGAGAAATTAAGACAATTATTTTCAGTGCCTGTAGGATACTTTTGAAGAAAATGGGGTTTTCCAGGGTCAGCAAAATGCAAATTCGTATAGGCTATTTGCCTGTGAATGAAAGTTTTTCAACATACGTCTTAGGAAAGCCTTGTAATATGACTTAAAAATAGCATAACAGTGCCAATTATCCCAGAGAAACACCGAGTAATGTGGTCAAGTGTCAAAATTATGTAGGTCGCTGATCTTTTCTTTTTGAAATGGATAGGTTTGAACCAATCATTTTTATATAAACATTTCTACCATGATGCTAGATCGTGAAAGGCTTTACTTTGGGACGGGACTCTTCATCTAGTCATCTACTCAAACTTGAAATGATTTTAGATTTTGCACTGCTGTTTGATCTTGCGTTTGTATTTTTCAGTAAGTTCCATGTAATTCTCCCCAAGTATTTACATACCCTTATATACTTAGTTTGTATTTTGTCTCGTCTCCCCACGCTCTCGTGCTTTCCTCTTTCCCTTCCCACCCGAGCAGATGGCTGCCCCTCCCTGGGCCTGGTTCTGCTGGAGATTTCTTCCTATAAATTTTGATTAAGGGACTTTTTCCTCTCCGTGGGCTTGCTCATATGGGGCCGCTTGACTGTTGGGGTTTTCTCCTGAATCCTTAAGGGTCTTTAACTTACAGCAAGTGCATTTGAGCTATATAAATAAAACTGAATTGAATTCATTTGAAAATGTGCTCTGAGTAAGTCCCTGTTGTCACATTTGCTGGCACTGGACTCTGAACTGTGCAATCAAACAAGTGGGTTTATTTATAACGACCACTATGTACAGTCCAAATCCAGATTCCACACCATCCACTCCAACAATGTGCTCACTTTCACTCACGCTCAACTGGGAAGGGTCCAAGTAAGACAGGTCCGGGTCCAGGAAGGTCTATAAAAGGGAGATGGAGAAAGACGTCAGAGAAACACTCAGGAACACAGGGAGCTCAACAAGAGACTAAGCTGGGCTACACTAACCCTAGTGAGTACAACGCTCCAGCGAGGAACACCACTCCAACCAGGCCTTAAGTATGGTGATGAGGCGTGATGTGCGTGTGCGTGAAGATCAGTTGACCACTGCAAGGCAGGCACCGCACCCCAGGACAGCCACTTGTGGATCATGAAACCTGTGGTATGTATTGCACACTAATGCACACTTGGCAAATATGTATTTTCAGTACACACTGCTGAAAACTTTGTGTGTCTGGTTTATGTGTCGTTTTGGAAATGACAAAAAGACAAAAGCACAGGTTGACTGAACACACAACGCTCAATAGGAAAGAGATGACTTACACATCAGTCACTTGTAAATGAGTACAAAAACTGTAGATTATAAGATAATTGTTAAATTTCATGTGAATCCTGAAATTCTGAGGGAATCTGACAATTTGTGTTTTGGCAGATCACAACCAACTTTGCACTTATTTCCTTTAGATGTTGTTCTGATGTTTTGTTCAAATACTGATTAAGAAATTTCTTGGCAAGGAGAAAACAGACAGTTCCTTCCTTTGGAGATCGATGGACTCTGTGGTCTCTTTTAAAAGCCAGTTAAAACATATCTTTTTAAAGATATGTCATGTCTTTGGCACCTCTGTAGCCAAAAAGCTTTGGAGTTTAGACAAGAGACTGCTGATGAAAAAAGTAGGCGGACTTATGCAATAGATATAGATGTAGGATTGGTGTTACTGTGACATATCACAGCTTGATGCACTTCCATCTACATCAGGGGTCTACAAACTCGTGGCCCGGGGGCCACTTGCGGCCCACGTTACCCCTACTTGTAGCCCGTATATTGACATGAATGGCAATTTGGCCCTTGAAGCTATTTTTTGTTAGGGAGGATGTAACGATGGTCACATTTTGATAATGTTTCTATTATTTTGTTATTTTCTGGCCAAATGATCACAGACTGTTCGTTTGTCAGTCACAACCACATTGATTACACCATGCTGAATGATGCCAACTGAACATGGGCCCAAATATTATATTGCACTTTATGAACCTATTGATCAAAGAGGGAATAATCACTGGAGCACAGAAGAATCCGATTGCATTCCTCGTGTTTTACATCTGTTGCGTGCTCAGAATTATAATTGAGAAACCTGAAGTGATTTTGTGGTTTGGGAAATAACAGTGAATCTTTAAGCTGATGTATGTTGCTCTGATTATTAGTACAGTATATAACACAGTTGTTTTTTTGGTGAATGTTGTTTTATGGGGTCTTATGTTTTGAAGCAAGAAATTCCTATAAACTAGACAAAGTGTGATATAGAAGTTTGAACCATTGCAGCAGGAGAGATTTGGTTTATTCACACTGATCACAGACATGGAAAACAATACAGAATAATGCAAGCAAACAGAACTCAGCAGCCTAACTGCTAACGTTGATGCCATATATTGAACACAATGAAGCCAAGTGTCAGTTGGCAGGGCTGAGGTTGTGAGTCAGAGCTCCCTGGACCTCAGGGGGACCATCCAGAGGCTAAAGAGATGCTATTCATTTGTTATAAAGTCTTCAGAGGTCTTCTGGCATTATGGGTCTCCTAATGGCAGCCGTTCCTTTGAGGCTCTCGTCTGCTTTCTGTTACTAAACAAGGACCAGCTTGCACAGAGTCATGAACTGCATGTAAGGCAAGCAGCAGCTTTGTGCAAAAAGATGGCACTCATTAAATCAGCTATGGTAATGGCTGCGTGAGGCTGTACAGGCTAGTTACAATCAGTGATTTCCAAATTTTTTTGTGCCCATTTCAAGGCACACCTCCATTTATATCTACATAAGAAAGCCTCAGTGTCATCTGACCGGAGTTTTGAACGCTGGACTTACTGTGATACCTGCAAATACATCTCTACTTCAGCAGCATAGAACGTCTCAAAATCATTTCATGGAGTGATGGAAAAACGCCAAGTTTTCCTTAGACAATAATTTGCTTTCTGAGGGGTTTGCAGTATTAGCATTAGCCATAATATATTAAACGTTTTGGCTGCAGGCTGTTGACTTAAAATAGGGAGCATTTGTGACAGCAGATTTTCTCTTTTCTTTATATAGTGTATTGTCTGCACTGGTGGCCAACTGTCTTGCTCCACCACAATAAACACATTAACTTCCTCACTGTCAGTTAGGGTCTCTCTTAAGGTCCTTTATACAGAAACATTTTAACAGATTCTTTTAGGGGAAGCGAGTGCAAACTACTGATAAAGAAATCATTAAAAAGGTTTTTGTTCATAAGTCACTGCACCTTGTGGAAACCACTGGGCATAGCTCAGTTAACAATGTCAACAAGCATAGATAACAGCACAGAGACTTCCAGTGTTGACAATGTTTGTGCCAAATTACGGGCAGAAATTCTGAATATTATATTTTTCTTTCAGCTAGAAAATAGTAACTCTAACAGATCCAAAGACGTTCGTCTTAGTTTACACAGTGCTTTTGTGTGACCTTATTTTCTGTCTCCCTGGGGCTCCATAGTGAGGTCTTGACTGACGAATAATTTTTTCATGTTTGCCGGAAACTAAATCCCCCTGCTGACACAAATCATCTTTGGTGACTCAGCTGGGAAAGAACTAGTCTTTAAACATTTGTTTAAAAAAAATGCTGAACTGGTGAAATCAAAAAGGCAGTATTTGGGGCAAGGGGTATGTACTTTTCCATTTAGCCAGTACTAATTTATGACTTTGATTTGAGGTTCCCGACATTACTAAAATCTGCCTGACCGAGAAAAGCCTTTTTGTGATTCCTATTCAGAAAGGTGAGGGTAGCTTGATTTAGAAATTATTTTGGTGGTTGAAAGTTACGCTTAAATAACTTCTGATTTGATTCAAGAGTGCCAGCCAGCTGTCATTTCCTAATATTTCAATATTTCCATCTCTTTAAGTTAACTAGAGTAATGTTTCATGTATTTTATTAATAAAACACAGTAAAGAAATTATTACAGTGCACTTAAACTGCATTCCTCAGACTATACGGTTTGCTCACTACTGATGCAGATGACACAGAGCAGAGCTCAGCTGTGTCTATTTTGGGTGGATACCGATAAAGATAAAGCTCTATGAGAAAGTGCAAAGACTATTGCACTGACAGTATTTTTTTAACCTCAATCCCAAAGCCAATTTTAAGGCAGTGTAGCCAAGCTATTACTGTTGGACATAAATATCAAACATATGCTCTGTTTAGTGTCGAGAAATCTCCTGACCCGTGCTTGTCTTAATGCGAGTCTTGCCTAAAGTAGAGGAGTAACAACATGGTCCAAACCTTGCCTTGTTTAATCTTACGAGTCAGAAAGATTTATGTTAATTATTGTGTGTCATTCCAATCGACGATTGAAAACATCACAGACAGATCTTTTCAGTCTTCTAATCTTATCTAAATTGCAAGTAATAAAACCTCTATTACCCCTGGATAATTACATTTAAAGTCAAATGTTGCGTCTAAACATGAAATATAGATTAAGGTTTGATATTTATTACTAAAGCAATATTGTATGTGAGTGTTGGTGGGAACTTTTCAGCCACATGAAAAAATATTTAGGCTATATTGTGGTTTGGAGCTTTGCCCTGGTTGGCAAGTGTCCCATTTCTCTCTGATAAATGTCCCTGGAGAGGTAGGTGGTCCAGTGGTTGGAAAACCCACAACTTTAGCCAGAGTTCCTTCAACCCATGACGCGTTAAATAAATTATGATTGATGTGCTTTAGCTGGGAACCTGGGAATAGTCCCTGGAGTCAAGGTCATGACTTGGTGCACTGGGAAACAGTTTTGGGAAATTAATTCACGTGAAGACTTTGAATTCCAATAAACTGCATTCCAGCTACATGGTGTGGCTTGCCACAAAGACCAGCAGGCACGCCAGGAAGTGAACAAAGGTTTAAAGACTCTATCAAAAAGACAGTTTCTAAACCTTAAACTTTTAAACAAACTTCAAAATTGGGAATTGTGTTTACAGTCGTGGAAATTTTACTTCTAAATTTTTTCTAAAGAATTTCATTTCACTCATTTATTATAAAGCACTTTTTGGCTGACCGATTTTATAGCCAGTTGCCTTTCCAAAGAAATCACCTCCCGTCAGCATGATTTCTGTTTAGAATTTATTCATCACAGACAGGATTTGCTGCCAATGACAACAGTGAGTTTTGTTTCCTTTCGAAACAACCCAGCCTCCTCATTGTGGAGACGACACATCTGTTTTAAAAGAATTTGAAAATGTCTAGGGGTGGGTGAACAGTTCACATTCAACCCTGATACCACAAAAAAGATCGAAAGCTGGAATTCACAGAATTATAACTTTTTAATTTATGTTGTTATGTCAGTGCACACTAGTCATTTATTTTTTTCATGCAGCTTGCTGGGCTTTGATTTGTTTTAATTGCACGTGTTCTATTTGAGAGAGGTTGTGGCTTGAAAATATTGTTTAACTTTATGAGCTATGGGAGTTTTTCCATAGTACAATTACGGTTTTATTGACATGAGAGAACAAAATATAACCATTCAATAATATTTTGATGTTAAAGACATTATGTACAGAAACAAAGTGCGAGGACTATATAGTATATACGTTAGCAAGACAAGAAGTAAAAACCGAAACAAAACACATTAGAAAAACCAACAGTCAATGTAACACTACTTTCAGCTGCTCCTTTACTCACAAGGGGCCACTAAAGCAGGTACATAATATTGCTGAAGGTTTTACTCACCCATCCAAATCACTGAATTCATCAGTTCCAATAGATTCTATGACCACAAGTGTATAAAACCAGGCACCTAGGCATGGCGACTGCTTTAACTAGCTATTGTGTAGGAATGGGTCGCTCTCAGGAGCTCAGTGAAGTCCAGTGCGGGACCGTGATAGGATGCCACCTATACCCCCGTGATGGGATGCTTCTTCGTGATCCAGCATGACCTCATACCAGTGCACAAGGTCCATAAAGATATGGATGAATGAGTTTGGTGTGGAAGAACTTGACTGGCCTGCACAGAGTCCTGACCTCAGCCCGACAGAAGATCTTTGGGAGGAATTAGAGTGGAGACTGCGAGTGAGGCCTTCTCGTCCAACATCAGTGTATGACCTCAGAAATGTACTTATGGAAGAATGGTCAAACATTCTCATAAACCCACTCCTAAACATTGGAAAGAAAAATTA